GGAAAATAATCCGTATTCGAAATAAACACAAACTAGAGGTACTGTGAGCAATAAGCTCACTAAATGATACCCCGCCTCCCATATGAATGTAATGGTAGCTAGTGTTGTGTTGTGGGAAACCCAAAATATGTGTCAGATCAAAAAGTAAAATAGGTCACAATGGCAATATGTAATAAAGATTCTGTGAAAGTTTCATCAAATTTCATTCAGTGGTATGAGAGGAGTTGCGGATAAGAGAAGGGTACCCCAAAGCGTAACAGACAGAAGGACGTACAGCTAGCTATACGGACGGACGGACATAACGATTACTAAATACCCTCCCGCTTTTCAGGCGGGGGTATAATAATAAAACAATAGAAAGACAATAAATTGCCAATTCATTTATGTTGACCAGTGCATAATCTTTCTCGTCGAAATCTAAAAATACTATTATTTTTGTTAAAACTAGGGCAGCGATCGATTAAATGGTAGTTCTTAGTATTGTTCATTATACTAGTATAGCATGCTGCATTGGACAAGTGTCAAATGACTTTATAGAACTTTAAAGGTGTTTATAATTATTACTATAAGTATACTGTGCATCATTAACAGCTTTATACATAAATGTTTATAGTTTATAGATCTTTTAAATTTATATTACTTACTGTATAGGAATGACAACCTTACCTATAATACAGGAAAATTTGCAATTGATAAACTTCTGACAAGTATATACACGTTTTTTTTAATCGAGACAACATAATTTGTTTATAGATAAGTTCGTCCAAGGGTTTTTTCTGTACTATATATATAGCTCGATGAGGTTAAAAACAGCGTCGTTTTTGTTGCCCAACAATCCTATTTGAAGTCTTTCCTGTTGAGTTTTACCGTATTTATTGATTTACCCGAGATGGTGCACTACTATAACCTGAAAGGACAAAAGTTTTTATCGCCAAATAAGTAAATAAATGCAAAGATGAACCTTGAACTGTACTTCATACGCACTGAAAATAAAGCAGATGCTATAACTTAATCAAAATTTTTAAACTTATACTTTCTTCCTTTGGGTAATTACATGTATACTGCTCTCTGTCCGTGACATTTAGTAAGGTTGGTGAACTCTTGGAACTGTGTTTGAAGATACTACGTTTTTCCTACAAAATCCTTCTTCCAGAACTTGTCACATACTTCCAGAGTCAGGTACATGAATTTAGGACCTATTTGGGGGTACTGCATGTTATACGGCATAGGCATAGGGGCGTTATTCAATCATTTTTTTTTAAGCTAGATGGTAGGAAAAGTGTAGCAGATATTGAATAAAAACAAATGTGAAACGAGGCACAATCTTCGAATCCAAAATGTCTTTCTATAAACGAAAATGTGAAAATTTCAGTGATTTTTATTATTTTTAGTGTTTTAAACAGACATAGAAAAACACAATACACAAAGTATACCATCTTGAAACCAGCCAAACTTAAAGAAGCGCGTTTTCACTTCCTTATTCTCCTTCATTTTGAAGATAAAATTTATTGTAATCAAAAGAATCTTATAGAGACGACTTCTTAATATTATATAAGTTTATGAACCTATACAAGGCCATCTATAAAATCAAATAATATTTGCTTGCCCTCTCCCGACTCAGTGTAAAATTATTTAGTCGGTAGATAGGTGGGAATTCTTTTTCCAGAAAATTTCAACATATATATAAGGGTGATAAAAAGAAAAGATATTGTGTCCTGGAATGTAGAAAAAGTTTTGCGGGCCATTTTAAATTGGTCGATCGGGAGAGGGCAACCGATCAAATTTTAAAGGTGGCCTAAACCAACTTATGCCTCTATACAGAAGGTGAAGATAACGACCAATGATAGATTACTACAAGTAATTCATTCCGTTTTCGTTTATAAATACCACAAACCAAAGCTAGAACTGAAAAATAACAGTAATGAAAGTAAACAAATCATTAAATCAAAAAGAATCGAGAGCAGAAACAGACCTCTAAAAACATTAGAGGTGGGATCAGTCAAGCTCAGTAGTCCATAAAACAATACAAAATAGGAGCAGAGCAAACATGGACCTCCAAAACATCAGAGGTGGGATTGGGTGCCATGGGGGAGTGAGCATCCCTTGCCGACCGATCACACCCACCCTGTGCCCCTTGTCATGGTCGGGAAATAACAGAAAAATCTGTCGTCAATTTAGTGTGTAAATAATGGCTTAACAATTAGTATGAAAAATGTCAGTCAGCATTTGACTCAGTGACAAATTACATTTGCTGACAAGGTCATTGCATCGACCATACAACTTACGAAATGATGACTTTTGATGAGACAGCCGATATTCTTGTTTCATCAACTTGTTTGACAATAATTTACCTCGTTCTGGAAATTTTACACACGTAGAACATGCTCTTCCGTACAGAATAATCAACAGCATGAGAGATAAAAACCCCGTATACAGGTGATGAAGGTACAGTATATTGCTGCATAAGCAAGGGAAGTTGACGATTGAAACAACCACTTAGCATCGTTTTTGAAATTGGGGGGGGGGGGGGCAGCCGGAGAATTTTTTTTTACTTACTTTGACAAGCAAAATAAAAAGGGAAAATTATTGCCAAAACTCGTAAATCCTACTTCGTGGGGGGAGCCTCCCGGGGAGGGCAACTTTTTTCAGTACCATCTTTTTTCCCTATTCAGCAATACATTTCCCTTGTATCAATTTCCTGTAGTATAGAGTTGGGGGGCAACCTTTCACTGAACATTTCCAATAGTAACAGAACTGTTGGGAAAAAGGTGGGCGGTGCCCCCCACCCCGATGCTACAGTACAGGCAACGCGGATCCCGTATTTCCCGCGCCCCGTCGCGGTATAATCACATCGCGGTATTATGCCATGTGAGACAGGTAAATCGCGTTCCCTCCGCGGGAAATTCATCACCTACCTGTCCCCGGGAGTTATCTCCCCAAATTGTAATTTGCGAATTTTCCCTGTAACAAAAAAAAAAAAAAAAGAATGACACTGTGTGTTTTTTAATAAAGGTATTTTCATTTATTTTGCTATGAATAGAATTTAAATTAAACTAAGAAAAAATAGATTTATTTTTGTTTCTAGAATTACATACCCGCATTAATCTTTGAAATTGAATAGAAAATTTTATTAAATGATTACGTCATTGCAATTGGTTAATTATTTTGTATTATTAAGAGTCTATCAAGAAACAAAATTAAAAACTATAAATTTTATTTACTTTTTTTTTTATCTTCATATTATATGCGAACCGTAATAAATGCTGAACTAAGACTGATTGAGTTTCGATAAACGATTTTCAGCGTTCATTTGAAAAAAAAAAAATGTTCATCTTTGAAAAAATGGACATCTTCATATTGTTTATACTCTTTTCCCATATTTAGAAAACACTTAATTTAAGTAATTTCGCTTTATTGTATATTAAATATGCAGGCATTTTTCTTACAGTGTCAAATTACCGGAAAACATTCGATGGCGAGAGTTTGCAGTTGCATGTAGTGGGCACGTGAATTAAAATTTTCTTTATCCAAGATATCAGGAAAAAAATTCTTTTCACCTTATTTCTCATCGTTTATGTTCTGTTCTGTTTGAAACAGATCTATGTGCTAAACTTTGTGGTAACTTTTATCTCAAGCTCATGATCACCGGGATATCGTATCGACATAAGAATGGAAATAACCATTGTTAATTGACAATATGTCGTCTATATACCGTATCTAAATGTCGAGTTGAAGGCCACAGCAAGTGTTTTCATCTTTTCACGTATAAGATTTTGAACAAAATCTGCTTTTATACATGTCACTTTACGCGGCGCAAGATTTTTTTTCGCATTTTGGGAGAATATCTCCACTTTCCAGCATTGATCAATCAACTACCTTTCACTCTCTAATTCTAGACACATTCTTTAACTAATCTGTATATTTTAAAAAAAAATTGAAAGTCGTCTTTACAGGCGATAAACTCGCTTGAAGTGAATTTTCAGCAATTCAGACGACAATTCTAATCAAGCGAGTATATCACTAGTACTGGAAAACGTCAGGTATTTCTGACGAAGTGCCGCTCTGCTCTGCAGTCAACACAAAATGTCGTTATTGCATGTTCTGTGAGATTTCGGAACATTGGATAATTTATGATTATTTCCATCTAAAATGTTAAAATAACTTTTATCGTATATATATTGTATATTAGGCCAAGGTTCATAATTTCAATTTTCTAGACAGAAATTATCATATCCAATATACCAAAGTCTCACAGATTGATTTTGACGATTGTTAATTTGTTTAACAGTTCAGGAAATAAAGGTTTAATCAAAGACTGACTTTCTACATTTATTTCCTCAATTTTCTTGCAAATAAATATACTTGCACTAAATATGAAAATAATATACATGTATGCATCAAAATAAAATAATATAAAAATACCAATAACCATGCCAAACAATACTAAAGGTAAAAAATAAAAAAAAAAGTAAAACAAAGGACTGAGAAAGAGAGAAAAGAAAATAGGGGAAAACCTACAGTTAATATAAAGGCCCCCGGGGAAACGTAGACATACATTTGTAAAAATGTTTTTAAAAAATAAAAGTTTAAATAAATAAAATAGGGGAAAATCTGAAAATCTACTAAAGGCATTATAAAAGTCCCCGGGGAAACGTAGAATTTTTTAATGTTTTAAAAAAATGAAAGTTTAAATAATTAAAATAGGGGGAAATCTACTAAACTTAAGTGTACTAAAGGTTATTATAACGCCCCCCCCCCCCCCCCTGGGAGGAAACGTAGACCTTTTTAAAATGTTTTTTTTTGTTCAAACTAAAAGTTTATAAATAAATAAAAAATAAATAATAAAATAAATTAATTGATTTAATAAAAATAGTGCACAATACGATCAGGGTCCATCTGCTGTGATAAAACTTTGATTTAGAGTAAATATCAAATCAATAATTTGTTATTTTAATTCCTAGATACTGTGGATGTTCAGTTATATCTTTGAGACAAAATTTTCTTTTTCCAAAAAATTACTGCTCCCCTGCATGACGTCAGGAACTTTTCAGCCACTCGTAAAGCTTTTCTTGAACCGTATCATCCGGGCATTGTTCACAGGGATTTAGCCGCGTGGGGAGGTCGCCATATTTACTGTAACGAAGGTGGGTTGCAAGTCACAAAAATATTTAAATAACAATTCAAAGCAGATCTGTCTCCAAATGTAATACATGCTATGACTAATTGTGTTGATTTGCAGGTTTGTTGACGACTGACAATGGAGAATACGGAAGGAATTCCGTTGCGACGGCCGTTTGATCCAGCCGCTCACGAACTGGATGCGAGTTTCCGACTCACAAAATTTGCTGACCTGAAGGGATGAGGGTGTAAAGTCCCTCAGGAGGCCTTGGAGAAGCTTCTTGAGGGACTCCAACAGGACAGCAATGCCCAAGAGTCGGAGCAGTCGCAATTCCAGTACATGGCGGCCGCACCAAGAATTGGTAAGTTTATTAAAGTAATTAAAATGTAACTTTTCATATAGCGACAAAGTGTTCTGGAAAATGTCAGTTCCGAAAGCTGTTTTCATTGATAAGTGAGTTGACAAGCACTGTTAATGATTTAATTATATTAATGTTATAATATTTATTGCAATTATGATTTTTAAGTGGTGAAAGAATAATGGAATGATAAGATTTGTAAACTTTCAATCAGACCCTTTTGGTTCTCAAGTTCTGAAAATGGCGGCTTTTCGAGCCCTGAGATGGTCACGTGATTTATCAATTAATGGTTCCGGAATAATGCAGTTTTATTCCTGGATTCTCCCTCTATGGTTTTTTTTTAATTTAATAGAAATAAAAGCAACTTGATTTAACTTATGCCTATTTTGTGTGTGTTATTTTTTTTAATAAACATGTTTTAAGGAGTTTTGAAGTATTTGTGTGTGTGTGTTTTATTTTTTGATAAACATCTTGGGGAGTTTTAAAGTATTGTGACATTTAAAATATTTGTATGAGTTCACAAAAAAATAATTATTTATTCTTTTTTTGAGGCATTGGTATGGATGCATCAGTTACTCCCCTGAGACACGGTGGCCTGTCTCTGGTTCAAACAACAGATTTTTTTTACCCACTAGTGGATGATCCTTACATGATGGTTTGTAATGGAAAGGGGGGGGGGCAAGGGATGTATACTCGATTCCCATTATATCGCGGGTTTCATTGTATCGCGGTATATCACAAAAATGTGGATACATAGCCTATATTCTTTTTGTTGATAGACAATATGAATGTTGTCTGAATGTTTTATTTTTTGATGATTAAGAAGTACGGAACATCCGTTTAAAAAAAAAAATAAAACGAAATTTTCATATTTCCAGGCCGGTTTTAATTATATTTAAACCATTAGAATTATAACTTCGTAAAAATTATAATAAAGTTCATCTTTTTAAGTCTTTAGTTTATAGAATTGTTCACTTTTTCATGTAGAATTACATCGTAAATTCAAAAATAAAATTTGAGGTCTGTGTCATTTACAAGTTTCCATGTATTCCCATACCACGATACAATGAGACTCTCCAATTTAGGAGGTAAATAAGACTTCCTGTTTTAAAAATAGACCAAGTTAAAATTATAATTATCATTTGATGTAAGTTAAAATAAAAATTAGAAATGACACGTTTTATGCAAAATAATTAAGTACCGCGATATAATGAGACACCTGTATACACATTCTGCAAGAATTTTATTTTAGATACAATTTTTAAAAAAAAATTAATTTTTTGTGACAAGATAACAGATTTTTTTTTTAATTTTATAAATTTATAACCAAGAACTATGAAGTAATGATGAGCTTTACTAATTAACTCTCGTTGTTAAAATAAATGTTATAATGACATCGCCAGGGTAAGATTGCTTGTGCCAATGTGCTGAGTGATTTGTATGCTATGGGTGTGACAGACACTGACAACATGTTGATGCTGCTTGGTGTTAGCAACAAAATGACAGAAAAAGAGCGTGACATTGTGGTACCCATGATGATGCGAGGTTTTAAGGTACATGTATAACAAAAAGGGCATAGGTAAATTATATTTTATGCAGTTGTCAGGGACCAATCCTGACCCCAAAATTATTGGGGACATCACTTTCCCTCAGAAAAAATTAGAGAGCTTTTTAAATTCTAGGGAGACTTCCAAGAAGTGCATAGAACACTTTAATTGTTTTAAAAAGTTATTAATAAACTTCAAATCAAGTAAATGTTCATGTATACTTTAAAATACATTTATTCTGATTTATTACATAAACACTCTAAAAGATGCTCTGAAACAAAGAGGAAGATTTTAATTATCTCTTCTCTAATGTACATGCTGTGTTCACTGTGACACCTGAATTAACGTTTACTTGGATTGACCTGGATTTTAGGACTTGACCGAGGAAGCGGGCAGTTCAGTGACCGGAGGTCAGACGGTCATTAATCCCTGGATGACCATTGGAGGCGTGGCTACCACGGTCTGTCAGTCTAATGAGTTCATCATGTAAGTGGATAATGGTACCCTTTCTAGCTCATCTGAGCCAAAGACTTTTCTGAGCTTTTCTGATAAAAAAAATTCAGTTATTGTCATTGTTCTCTGTGTTGGCTTTGTCAAGGTTATCAACTTTTTACACTTTCTTATTCTCCAAAATCATTTGGTCAACAAAACTCTGCACGGGGTGCCTTTGGGAAAGGGGGATTCAAGTTTGTTCAAGTGGTGGGCCAGAACCTCTTCCAAGTGGAGATAATTTAGAAATAGCATAATTTAGGTGGGGTTATTCAAAATTATTCTTCTCAGGAACCACTTGGACAGAAGAGAAACATATGTTGAAGCTTCCTGACTTAATCTTTCTTATTGTTCTTATAATGACCCAGGGGAATAGGAAGGGTCTTAATGGATAATGGTTGATCAAAGTACTTAGAACTGACCCCCACCCCCAAATAAAAAAATCTTGAACAATCTAGAATAATTGAAGCAAAGCCATATATTTAAGTCATATCCACAGAAGTATCTATATTAAAGCATCCTTAGGTATTGTAGATATGGGGAGGGGGGCTGTGACCAAGATTTTTTAGTAGATGAAAGATTATACAAACTATATTTTTTTTAAGTCATTTAAACAAAGGTGAGAGTAAGAATCGAAATATTTGTAATTAAAGAGATTGTCCTGTATGTGAACTTATTGAGACTTGTTTACTGCAGGCCTGGCAATACCGTTTTATGTGGATTTTATGAGACTTGTATATTTCAGGCCTGAAAAGCGGGTGTTTGTGGACTTAGTGCGAGTTTAAGAAATAAAAGTCCACGTTATCGTGAATGTTGCAGAATAATCTCCGAGGTCGAGAAATGTTGTTTGAAAGATAAAAGCCGAGGCTTTTATCTTTCAAACAACATTTCCAGACTGATGAGGTTATTCTGCATCATTCACAACAGCAAGGAATTTATTTCTATTCTACTTTAGCATCTCTTAAATACGACAGCTTGTTTCTTTATAGAGAAACGAATTAGGTCACCATGCTGCTTTAATGCTGTTCCATTTAGCACAAGAGTGTTTTGTTTGTTTAACTGTGAATAAAATGCAGACGATTTGTGCTTTTGTCGTATTAAAATTAGCCTTTTATCAATTATAAATCTGTTTATAGCTTATATAGATTAAACTTTTTGAATATACAATAACAAAATCAATTTCCTATTTTACCACTATATCACTAAAATCACGGAGTTTAAATATGGCGTAGGGAGGACAGTGAAACAGCCATGCTTAGATTTAGAAACTTACATTCATCAGCTATTTTCTGCAATATACAGTGTTTAAATTGCAAAAGACATAACATCTATGTGGTCTAAATATGTATTTCATTCTTAGGTAAAATTTATTGGAGAATAATGTCCGCGGCATTGCTTTGATCTTGTCAATAATCATAGTAGAATGTTTATGTCAGGCCTGACAATACGGTTGTCTGTGGACTCAGTTTGAGTTGTTTATTTCAGGCCTGACAATGCCGTTGTCTGTGGACTTAATGAGTGTTGTATATTTCAGGCCTGACAATGCCGTTGTCTGTGGACTTAGTGAGAGTTGTATATTTCAGGCCTGACAATGCCGTTGTCTGTGGACTTAGTGAGTGTTGTATATTTCAGGCCTGAGAATGCCGTTGTCTGTGGACTTAGTGAGAGTTGTATATTTCAGGCCTGACAATGCTGTTGTCTGTGGACTTAGTACAGTTGTATATTTCAGGCCTGACAATGTCGTTGTCTGTGGACTTAGTGAGAGTTGTATATTTCAGGCCTGACAATGTAGTTGTCTATGGACTTAATGAGTGTTGTATATTTCAGGCCTGACATTGTTGTTTGTGGACTTAGTGAGAGTTGTATATTTTATGCCTGACAATGTAGTTGTCCGTGGACTTAGTGCAGTTGTATATTTCAGGCCTGACAATGCCGTTGTCTGTGGACTTAGTGAGTGTTATATATTTCAGGCCTGACAATGTCGTTGTTTATGGACTTAGTGAGAGTTGTATATTTCAGGCCTGACAATGTCGTTGTCTGTGGACTCAGTTTGAGTTGTTTATTTCAGGCCTGACAATGTCGTTGTCTGTGGACTTGGTGAGAGTTGTATATTTCAGGCCTGACAATGCCGTTGTCTGTGGACTTAATGAGAGTTGTATATTTCAGGGCTGACAATGTCGTTGTCTATGGACTTAGTGAGTGTTGTTTATTTCAGGCCTGACAATGTCGTTGTCTGTGGACTCAGTTTGAGTTGTTTATTTCAGGCCTGACAATGTCGTTGTCTGTGGACTTAGTACAGTTGTATATTTCAGGCCTGACAATGTCGTTGTCTGTGGACTTAGTGAGTGTTGTATATTTCAGGCCTGACAATGCCGTTGTCTATGGACTTGGTGAGTGTTGTATATTTCAGGCCTGACAATGCCGTTGTCTGTGGACTCAGTTTGAGTTGTTTATTTCAGGCCTGACAATGTCGTTGTCTGTGGACTTATTGAGAGTTGTATATTTCAGGCCTGACAATGTCGTTGTCTGTGGACTTAGTGAGAGTTGTATATTTCAGGCCTGACAATGCTGTTGTCTGTGGACTTTGTGAGAGTTGTATATTTCAGGCCTGACAATGTCGTTGTCTGTGGACTTGGTGAGAGTTGTATATTTCAGGCCTGACAATGCTGTTGTCTGTGGACTTAATGAGAGTTGTATATTTCAGGGCGGACAATGTCGTTGTCTATGGACTTAGTGAGTGTTGTTTATTTCAGGCCTGACAATGTCGTTGTCTGTGGACTCAGTTTGAGTTGTTTATTTCAGGCCTGACAATGTCGTTGTCTGTGGACTTAGTACAGTTGTATATTTCAGGCCTGACAATGTCGTTGTCTGTGGACTTAGTGAGTGTTGTATATTTCAGGCCTGACAATGCCGTTGTCTGTGGACTCAGTTTGAGTTGTTTATTTCAGGCCTGACAATGTCGTTGTCTGTGGACTTATTGAGAGTTGTATATTTCAGGCCTGACAATGTCGTTGTCTGTGGACTTAGTGAGAGTTGTATATTTCAGGCCTGACAATGCTGTTGTCTGTGGACTTTGTGAGAGTTGTATATTTCAGGCCTGACAATGTCGTCTGTGGACTTAATGAGAGTTGTTTATTTCAGGCCTGACAATGCCGTTGTCTATTGACTTACTGAGTGTTGTATATTTCAGGCCTGAGAATGCCGTTGTCTGTGGACTTAGTGAGAGTTGTATATTTCAGGCCTGACAATGTTGTTGTCTGTGGACTTAGTGAGTGTTGTATATTTCAGGCCTGACAATGCCGTTGTCTGTGGACTTTGTGAGAGTTGAATATTTTAGGCCTGACAATGTCGTTGTCTGTAGACTTACTGAGAGTTGTTTATTTCAGTCCAGACAATGTTGTCTGTGGACTTAGAGAGTGTTGTTTATTTCAGGCCTGACAATGTCGTTGTCTGTGGATTCAGTTTGAGTTGTATATTTCAGGCCTGACAATGCCGTTGTCTGTGGACTTAGTGATAGTTGAATATTTCAGGCCTGACAATGCCGTTGTCTGTGGACTTAATGAGAGTTGTATATTTCAGGGCTGACAATGTCGTTGTCTATGGACTTAGTGAGTGTTGTTTATTTCAGGCCTGACAATGTCGTTGTCTGTGGACTCAGTTTGAGTTGTTTATTTCAGGCCTGACAATGTCGTTGTCTGTGGACTTAGTGAGAGTTTTATATTTCAGGCCTGACAATGTTGTTGTCTGTGGACTTAGTGAGTGTTGTATATTTCAGGCCTGACAATGCTGTTGTCTATGGACTTAGTGAGTGTTGTATATTTCAGGCCTGACAATGCTGTTGTCTGTGGACTCAGTTTGAGTTGTTTATTTCAGGCCTGACAATGTCGTTGTCTGTGGACTTAGTGAGAGTTGTATATTTCAGGCCTGACAATGCAGTTGTCTGTGGACTTAGTGAGAGTTGTATATTTCAGGCCTGACAATGCTGTTGTCTGTGGACTTTGTGAGAGTTGTATATTTCAGGCCTGACAATGTCGTCTGTGGACTCAGTTTTAGTTGTTTATTTCAGGCCTGACAATGCCGTTGTCTATGGACTTACTGAGTGTTGTATATTTCAGGCCTGACAATGCCGTTGTCTGTGGACTTAGTGAGAGTTGTATATTTCAGGCCTGACAATGTTGTTGTCTGTGGACTTAGTGAGTGTTGTATATTTCAGGCCTGACAATGCCGTTGTCTGTGGACTTTGTGAGAGTTGAATATTTTAGGCCTGACAATGTCGTCTGTGGACTCAGTTTGAGTTGTTTATTTCAGGCCTGACAATGCCGTTGTCTATGGACTTACTGAGTGTTGTATATTTCAGGTCTGACAATGCCGTTGTCTGTGGACTTAGTGAGAGTTGTATATTTCAGGCCTTACAATGTTGTTGTCTGTGGAATTAGTGAGTGTTGTATATTTCAGGCCTGACAATGCCGTTGTCTGTGGACTTTGTGAGAGTTGAATATTTCAGGCCTGACAATGTCGTTGTCTGTGGACTTACTGAGAGTTGTTTATTTCAGGCCAGACAATGTTGTCTGTGGACTTAGAGAGTGTTGTTTATTTCAGGCCTGACAATGTCGTTGTCTGTGGACTCAGTTTGAGTTGTATATTTCAGGCCTGACAATGCGGTTGTGGGTGACGTCCTGGTTCTTACGAAGCCTCTGGGGACACAAGTGGCTGTCAATGCTTACCAGTGGTTAGATCAACCGGAGAGGTGGAACCGAGTCAAGCTGGTTGTGACAGAGGACGACGTCAGGAAGGCGTACCAGAGAGCCATGTTTAGCATGTCAAGACTCAATAGAACAGGTAACGTTTGTCCTGATACAGACTTCATCTATCTTAAAGTATGTCAAGAACAGTTTGTGTATGTTCTGATATGGTACTCTGTACAATCTTTTGATTTATGTAGTAGAATACTGTGTGGAGAGAATTATCAATTCAACCCTTGTTGATTTTAGTTCATTTAACCAAGGCAGACATTGGTACTCAAGTTGAATAAAAATACCCTATTAACTTAGTAAGTCAGCCATTGCTGAATGTAGGCATTCAGTCTGCTTCATTCACCCATCTTTGTTGGTGTTGCTACGTTAATGTAGAAAAAAAGACGACATCTTTCTTTATTAGGTGCCCGTTTGATGCACAAGTACAATGCCCATGGTGCTACAGATGTGACAGGATTTGGGTTACTGGGTCACGCTAAGAACCTGGCTAAGATTCAGAAGAATGAGGTCAGTTTTGTTATCCACAACCTCCCTATCATCGCCAAGATGGCTTCCATCAGCAAGGCCTGTGGAAACATGTTTGGGCTGCTCCAAGGACACTCGGCAGAAACTTCAGGTACATATCTGATACCAAACCTTAGATATATGTATTAATCAGTCATTGATATAAAAAAAAAATAATGAGGTTTAATATATTGGTGTCATAAAATTTATAATTTTGAAAAATGACTGTGAATTTAAAAAGTAAAAAATTTACATGTTATTTTTTTTTATCTGATCAGTTGTTTTATACATACAAATTATTTTTTTTCTGTGTACATTAAATACATGTATTCATATTTCCCTGCATTAAAAATCATACCTATTACCTTCCATAAACCACATATATTATTTGTGTTTGAGTTATGTCTCTTTACCTTGAGAAAAAATCAATGCAGACAGGATGTATTAGTTGATTAGTTTATTGATCTTCAAAGTAACGAGCATTAAATTACATAAAAATATAGATTGAAAATATGAAAGGTGTATAGAGATTGCTTAATCATTTATCTTGATTAATACTTGGAAGACAGATTTTCCTTGGGCCAGTATATAACAGGAGCTCTGACTTCACTTTGTAATTGCTTTCAGAGAACATTAACCAGATAATTAAAAATAAAGAGGAAAAAGAAAATCCTAATAAATAGCTCTAGCTTTTATGCTGTAATTTCATCAAGCAAAACACAGTCTAAATGACTAAAAAAAAAACAGAAGGTGTTGGATTTCAATCAATGTAGCTTTCTCGCTGTTCTGGCATTGATTTTAGTGCAGACACATCAACACACATTCAGACAAGAGAAGATTGATGGTTGGTATTTTATTTCCAGGTGGATTATTAATGGCATTACCCCGAGAACAAGCCGCGGCATTCTGTAAGGACATCGAGAAACAGGAGGGCTACCAGTCCTGGATTATAGGCATTGTAGAGAAAGGCAATAGGACAGCCAGAATTATCGACAAACCGCGCGTGATAGAAGTGCCGGCCAAGGACAGGGACGGGGAACTGTGGTAGTCTCCGAAAATCTAAACGACCAATGCTGAAAATTTACTGAATTGGATAATAGATTGTTTCTCTTGTAAACCAAGTTTAATTAATGTTAAAAGGGAAAAAACAGGTTCATAAAGCAAGATTTATCAAAACATTGTCAGAAAATTTATATTTTCTAGTTGGGATTTGAAAACAAAGTAATTTTTTCTTTCTTTTTGAAAGATTTTGTTTGAAATATATTGTTGACTTTGTTACTGTTTCTTTAGTTCACAATTTTCATTTTGTAAATCATGACGGTAATTAATTAAAGAAAATGAATGAAAAAAAAAAATCTATTACATAAAGCTATACCTAACTGGAGGGTTAAGCTTGGTCATTGTCACTTGAACTCTTGTAAATATTCTGATCTAATTCATGAAGCTGTTTGAAAAAAGAACAGATGTTGATTCAACAGTGGAAAATTTTATTACTTAGAGTTCAGGATTTTTACAAGAGTGAAGTGAAAAATCATTGAAATTGTTCATTACCATTCTCAATTCATTCATAATAAAAAAGTTATCAATGTATTTGAATGTGATTTTAATGATTTATTTTGATAGCTATTCTATTTTTTTTGGGAAAAAGAAAAGATTTAACACGTAGCATTTGAGCATAAACTTGATTGTTTAATGCTAAAAAAGGAAAATTAGCTCAACGGACCTCCAATATGGTGGCCAACGGGAAATAAATCTAGCTAATTCAGGTCTATCAAAAACTTTCTGTAAACAAATACATGTAATAGATGTCATTCTCTTGTTGTTTGCAAGTCTTTCATTTAAATGCAGGGCCAAACTTGATTTATATATTTTGAATTCAGGAAGAATGCCACACCAAAATTTTATTCCATACATCTACATCCTTATTAAATTTTGCCCCCCTTCGATTGATCTGTATGTTGTTAAACGTCACTCTCAACAAGAATTTTTCACTCGTATGGAGACGCCACCACTTGCCAGTGTAGAGCTGCAAATTTTGTCCTGTGCTTAGCACTAGGGGCCATTGAGCAGGGAGGGATCTTTTTCATGCCAGAACCTGCTGTGACATGGGACCTCGGTTTATTCGGTTTCATCCGAAGGACCGGTCTCCACATCCCCCAGTGGTAATTGAACCCGCGATGTAAGGACCAACTCCTTACTTCCCTACTCTAGAGCAGAGGCTCTAACCACTACCCCACGCAAGGGACTCCCCTTCAAAAAATAAGTATTGTAACAAGAGGCTCATGGGTCATGATGCTCACCTATATAATTTTGGCCCTGATCTTTTTCCTTGTTATACCTTTTGTGACCCCACCCTACCCCGAAGGGGTCATGATTTGAACAATTTAGAATCTGCATTACCCCTGCCCTGGAATACATCCACATAAATTTTAATTTTTCTGTTTCACTGGTACATAAGACGATTTTTACATATTTGTAAAAAGCTTTTTAGCTCACCTGAGCTGAAGGCTGTCTAAACTTTTCACATTTTCAACTTCTTCTCAAGTAATTTCAACAAAACTTGCCACAAACTATCTTTGGGTGAAGGGGATTTAAAGAGCACAAGGCGATGTCAATCCCCCGCTCTGAGAAAAGACATTTCTCAATTCTAAAAGTTCATGAAAGCTCTATTTTTCAAAATTATATGGCTTACATCAACTTTCACACATTTAATTCTGTATTTCTTTATTTTAAATTTTATTAATATTTTTTTTTCATTCAAGTTTTAAAAGATATGTGGAAAAAAAGAAAAAAGCTTCTCGTATGGGGATTGCGCTCCACTACGCAAAGAAGTATTTGTGTTATCGATGCTTTCATTGCAATTTACAGCGAATTACGAAATAGTGGTAAAGTTTTCAATAGCTTGCTGGATAGCTCAATAGGGTATTTAGTTTGGTCTAACAAGTATCACATTAGATCTGAATCTAGGTCACAAGGTTACTCAGGTGTATCATTAGATTTTACAGGTAAATGTGAGTTGATTTCAATGGTTCCACATGTATGTGCCAAAGTGTTCTGCCGTTAATGAATACAATATTTTTCTTTAATTGTAAATAACTTTTGCAGAATTAATGAATGACACTGTAACCCGTCTTCAGTTCTTGGGTTTTTGATATTTATATGGATAATAAAATCTCTGCTTTGCTAGCCAAATGGTCTTCTCTATTCCTGGATGTCCTACTTCTTTGTGGATTCCTATGAAAATTACATCTTTAAAATGGTCTGGTAAACAAAGTTGAATAATTTTCTCTCGATCTAAAAAGGAATTTCTGTACAAAGTATCATCAATAATCTGAAGTTTCTTTCTCTCTCTTAAATATTTCTGAACCGTTGTTGTTTCTTTCCTACCCTTCTCTCCCTGCTTTAAAATTTCTATGACTCTGGCTATGGTTTTATCTTCTCTTTGTTCTTTCCTCCAGTCTATGTCTGACATATCTGTTGCTGTAATTTCATCTGATGGAAAATTCTGTGATAATGTTTCTGCAGCTGAAATATCTAAAGAAACTGAATTACAAATGGCCTTTACTGATTCTGAAAATAAATAAGATTTTCTGGAAAGAGCGTCTGCATCCGAGTTGAATTTTCCGGGACGGTAAGAAATACTAAAGTTGTAATTGGCAAGAGCAGAAACCCATCTATGACTGGTCGCATCTAACTTTGCTTTGGATAGTACATAAGTCAATGGATTGTTGTCGGTAATGACTTCAAATTGGTTCCCATACAAGTAATCGTGGAATTTGTCTGTAATGGCCCACTTCAGCGCTAAAAACTCTTTTGAGCAGGATAGTTTCGCTCACTGTCTTAACCCTCTGCTTGCATAGGCGATTACCTTGTCTACCTCATCTTGTCTCTGATACAACACTTCCATGACTGCTGGAATCTGTGTGTACAATGAATGGCTTGGTGTAGTCTGCATAAGCTAACACTGGTGGCTGGGTAAAAATCTTTGATCGTCTCAAATGCTGTTTGATGGATAGCTTAGCTGGTTCTTCAAATTTTCTTACTGTGCTGTGCCCCTGTATTTAGAGGTTGGACTATCTGAGAATAATTCTTAATAAACCTACGATAATACCCTGAGAATCCTAAAAACTGCCTCAGCTCTTTGATGTTCTTTGGTGTTTTCCATTCTTTAACTGCTGATAACTTTTCTGGGTCTGCCGAAATTCCGTGTTCTCCGACGACGTGGCCTAAATAGGTGACTGATGATCTGAAAAATTCGCATTTAGAAGGTTTAAGTTTTAAATTATGTTCTGAAAGTTTTCCAAAGACTGATTCTAATCTACTGATGTGATCTTCAAATGTTTTCGAAAAAATCAAAATGTCGTCTAAAAAGATAAGGCATTCTTTCAATAACATGTCTCCCATACATTTCTCCATCAGTCGCTGGAATGTGGCGGGTGCATTGGTAAGACCAAAACTCATGCGGTTACATTCGTAAAACCCTAAATTTCCAACGGAGAATGCTGTCTTTGGCTTGTCTTCTTCAGCTACGGCCACTTGCCAGTATCCAGATCGCAAGTCAAGTTTGGAAAAGAATTTGGATCCTGATAAGGTGTCAACTACATCATCAAATCTGGGAAGCATATATGCATCTTTTCAGTCTATACAAAATCTTAAGCTTCCGTCCTTCTTTCGCACAAGTACCACGTTGGAGGAAAATGGGCTTAAAAGCATATCCTTGATGTGTTGGCGTATTTCATCATACATTCCAGGTGGAATCTTGCGGTATGGTTGCTTAAAGGGTCGGTCATCTTCTAATACAATCCGGTGCTCTACCAAGTCTGTTTTGCCTAAGTCGTTCGCATTCCTGGAAAACACATGACTCCATTTGCATAAAATTTCTGAAAAAATCTCATTCTGTTTAGTGGTCAAGTTTTTCTTATCAATATGTACATCTGGTAACTTTCAAATTGTGCTCACTATGTACAGTGCTTTCAGTGAACTTCTGAGAAACTAAGTTGTCCACTATCTTAACTTGACTAAGCTGACACACACCAGACTTCGGTCTTATAGTAATAGACTTTGCAGTAATATTGCAGATTTTCACTTGAATTCTACTGCTGTTTGCCTTAGTATCTAGTTCAACCACTCTTGGACAAACAATGTAGTTTGACTCATTGTCAAAGCATTCAGTAATATACTGTTGAACTCCTCTAACCAGACCTTGAACTACATAGGATTGGTATGGCTCAACCACAATGGGCTTTTTACTCATTGAGCGCACACAGTAAGATCCTTCCATGCTGTTGACTGCTAACTTCCATGCTTGTGGAACATCTTCAACATCTGAAATAAAATCTTTGTAAAATCTGATTACATTTGTTCCCAATATGACAGGACATTGTGTATTGAACTCATTGTCTGGAACAACTAAAATAGGTACATACAACTCTTGTTCACATAGTAAAGGAATGTTAACACAACACTCTACATAGCCGAGGTATGGTAACACAGAACCATCAGCTACAGACACTTCGAGAGAGTTGATATCTCGTAACTCAGGTTTGTCAATAAGAGTTTTGTAACCTGACAGTGAAATGGTACTGACCATAGACCCACTGTCTATAAGTGCTAACATTGGATCTTGAATCATGACAACACTTTTGTTACTTTCACCCACTAACTGACAACTTTGTTGGCCATTAGATTCACCAACCTTTGATTGGCCATCAGCAAAGGCGGTTAATCTTTTGACTCATTCTGTCTTGTAAATTTATTACCTGAATATCTCTGTTGTCCTCTGTTGTTTATAAAGTGTCTACCGTTACCTCTGTAACCTCTACCTGTACCATAGTTTCCTCTGAAATTTGAACTTCCACCAGAGTGAATTTCAAGTCTCTCTAAACTCTTGTTAAACTTGTCATCCATCTTTGTTTCTATTTCACTCACGTTAGCATCCAGCTTTCTTTCAAGTGCTGACAACCTTTTATCTGTCTCATCTGTACCAGTTGTCATCATATGACTGTGAACTTTCTTTTCTCTAGGTACACTTGTACTAACCTCACCTGATTTACCTCCACTGCTGATGCTGATTTCCTTTTCTACCTGTCTTATCTCCCTAAGCAACTGATCATAGCTTTGAATAGTATCATACTTATGTCTAGTTTGGGACTTAAGTTTTTCACAACGTAAAGAAGTCCAAAATTTGTGACGTAAGAGATCAATTTTAGCATCCTTGCGCAAATGATTATTGTCAATAGCTGTTTGTAAAAGTGACTCAATTCTACAACCAAAAGATGTAACATTTTCATTTGGTAACTGAAAAGAATTGAAAAACTCCTGCATTATCATCCCATTTGTTGAGATATCTGAAAACAATGCATCAAGTTTGTCTAAAATCTCACAAGTAGTTGCTTTCTCACCGAGAGGTATCAACATCTTCCTAGCCGTGCCTCTAAGAGATCTACGCATTGCTTGTAGCAAATGACTAGAACTTACCTCTGGATCACTCTGTAGACATCTGATTTCAAATCTCCATTCTGAATAACTTACATCTCCTTTCTGGGGCGGTTCATCACCTGAGAATGGTGGAATCTTGGGAATTACTTCAG